TTAATCATCAAATATATAGCGGGTGGATGGCCGAGAGGTCAAGGTGGCAACCTACCGCTTGAGGGACCCGGTCTCTCCATTGTGGGCCTGGCTGTACCCATAATGGGCTTGCAAAAAAGAGGCCCTCTTAGTGCCCACAGAGCGGAAAGAGTTTAAAAAAAAAAGTAACATGAAGACAAAAAGCGAACCACCAATCAGTGACTATACGGTTAAGCAAATGTCATCTGGAATTATATATAAATTAAAACTTTAAAATTTTCACATTTTGTCCACCATGGACTAGTCGAACGTCTCAATTTAGTAACTTCATTCTACTTAATTTTGGATTTCCCATTCTAAAAATGTTCATATTACAGAATATACCAAAAGTTCCATACTTAAGTTTTGAAAATTATTTCCTGACATGTTGAGAAAGTGACAAAAGAGGCATTATTGATTTAAATTTGTGACTGTCCTCAAAAACGTTTTAAACAAATCCCGATGGCTGGTCAACCGTATCTCATCAAATGTGGAAAAACGTAGCCATGTCTAGAATGATGCTTAATCCGAAACAAAGAATTACACTTTTGGAAGGCTTATTTCTTTACCAAATCCTAATAATGACGTGTGAAGATTTCGAAGAAAACATTTTCCTATGACATAACATCAAATAACTCTGTTTCATAGGAACTTGTTCGAAGCTCGCTGTAGATTCTACCAGGCCCACAATGGGGAGACCACATTGTAAGAGATGGAGTCCGGTATATCCGGACAGACCACGCTCTTGAAAACTTTCTGTGACTTTTTCCGATCCGTCCGAATTCAATCCCGGGTTCTCCTGAGCGGTAGGCCAAGTCATTTAGTCGTTCTAATTTATATTTCTATACTTTTGTGATGCCCGACTAGTCAAAATGGCTAGATGCATATCTGCTGCATTTGCGATTTGTTTCGGAACTTATTTCGGGCATGTTAAAAGTCTTCTAATGTCTGCAGGATAGTTACATAGTGTACCGTAGTGAAGCGTGATACATATCGATAATTCGGCCGGATGGCCAAGCGGTCACGGTGGCAACCTACCGCTCTGGGGGACCCGGGTTCGAATCCGAACGGGTCGAAAAATCCCCAGGAATTTTTCGGGGGGTGGTCCGTTTGGATATGTCGGGCCCCGTCCCTCACCACCCGGTAGCCCAATTGTGGGCCTGGCCGAACCCATAATAGGCTTGCAAAATGAGGCCCTCTTAGTGCCCACAGGGCGGAAAGAGTTAAAAAAAAAAAAACATATCGATAATTACAAAATATCAATTGTTAGCCCCTTTGATATTTACGATGTCGATGTTTTGTAAAATTGTAAAATCATCGATATTTAAAAAAGTCCCGTACATGTTGATTTTATTCTGAAAATAGAAGAAAATTGATTTTGCACGGTACCGGTTAATAAATCTATTAATTCATTATTAGCCTTAAAAATTGACTAAGATGTGCATTTCTTGTTCAATTTTTGCAAAAGTTAATCAGTAATCATAAAGGTTTGATATATTTAATTAAGATTTACATGCTACATTAACATGTTACAGATTAAACAACGCTGCCTAAAACTTATTTAACTTTTAGCGATGTTTTTAAATTTGTATTTATGGTAATATTTTAAAAAAGTCAAGACAAGAATTATCCTATATGTAGATTATGATCAGTGGCAATCAGGGCATTACAAAATACTGTACTTCCAATTTGAGATCTCAGTAAACAGTAACTGTATAAAAATTTTTGAGAAATTTCAAAAAAAGCTGAATATAAAAAAATTAACATTATCTTATCCTGATCTATTTGCAATATTTTGTGCAAATTCAACTTTTAGTTTTCATACATTATTTAACTTAGGTGAACAAGAACTTCGGAATTATATCTTGACTCTTTTGGAAGTAGTGTTAGTAAAGTAGTATCTTCTCATTTGTATCTATATGTAAACCATTTCTTTAAGGTGAGATGATTAATGCTTTTAAGGTGAGATGATTAATGTTAAAAGAACAGTTGATGAAATATTTAATAAAATGACGTCTTGCAAACCAGTGGCGTAGCGTAGTGGGGGCGGCCTGCCCCGGGCGGCACTTTTAGGGGGCGGCAAAATTTCACAATAAATAATAATAATATCTTGTAAAAATTTGAACCATTTTATTTCATATTTTTTGTCGCACCTACGATTCGGACCGATTGAAATGAGCACGGAATTTTTCATTACTTATTCTGTGACGAAACTGAATTTTAGTCTTTTAAATTGAGATACGTAAATAAGGAGACGGCGAAATTTTCCTCCGCGCCCGGGCGGCTGACACTCACGCTACGCTACTGTTGCAAACACAGCGCTTCAAAATAAAATTTCAAATGCAATTTTATATACAGTATAAAGTGTTGTGAGATAAACTATTAGCCCCCTTTCCGTAGGGCCTAGTTAAAGATAAACTGTTCTTGAATTCAGGAATTCTAAAGAATGCTGTTCTACTATACATAAGACCTTGAAAACTCCAATTAATTGTAACAAAACATTTTTGTCATATGACAAAATGGCAGTTTGGACGAAAGAGAACATAAAAAAAAAAGCTTATAGCTGAGTATCAGTTATCTGAAATGCGACTTTCAGTTATTATTACAAGAGAAAAGAAAAACGTATGGAGTAGTTCACAGAATTGGCACAAGCGTTCTCGTACGGCGTCAATATCATTAAATAAAAATAATAGCGAGGTTGCGGCCGAAGTTTTCATCTGTAAAACGTGAACGTCAAACGTCGAGCGCCGCTATATTGTAGCGGCGATTGACGTTCGACGTTCATATTTTACAGATGAAAACTTCGGCCTCAACCTCCCTAATAAAATATTTTGAGAATTCAGTATTCGGCTGAATATTCAAAAATTTCTAAATCAGAAAAAAAGTAGAATATCGACATTAGCAGCGTATCAAACCAAAAGTGCTAAGAAAATAGTGTTTATTCTGCAGTAGCAAATGCTGCCGTGAAAATTTTATCTTCTGTGGTAAAGTTTTATTCCGTCCGAAACACTTTTCCAAAGCATGACAAAGGATCAGGCTTGCAGAAAAGATAAAAAAAAAAAAAAACTTAATGCAAATGAAAATAATTCGGATTAGAATTACTAGTAGGCTATCAACTTCTGGTAAGGAACAATTTAACAAAAACAACTGTTCGTCCATTTTTCAGAACATTTCCGAACAATTATTTTTTAAAAACTGATTGAACTTGCAGACCATTTAGAAAATTCCAAACAGTTGACAACTGTAGTTGGGATACTTGGGAAACAGGATCGTCGAGAGGGGAGGAGAGCTGGGGACTTTTTCCGGGTCGGAAAGAAACTTAGGAGCCCGTACTGGTCCTTACCTTTATAAATGAATATTAGTTTTACTAATAAAACAGTAAAATCTTCAAGAAAGTTTTTAAATTATTAATAAAGAAACATTCTATATATTTCATTTGTTTAAAAATAAATGGCAAAAGAGGCCCGGCCCGCTCTACTCCCGAACCCTATATGGCCCTGTTGGAAACCATTATTTTTTGCGTTCGATTCTTAAACGGAATTCGTTCATAACTCGGGAATCGCCTTATCAGAAATTAAATATTTTTATATTTTAAATGTGATTTAGGATATGAAAAACTGAAAATGTTTTAGCTTTATAAAGTTATGGATTCCAAGAAATAGATGTATTATTTTATTTCAGAAAATTATAAAATTTGACAAAGAAAAATCATATGGGCTTGTAACATATCCATTACTAATCAAATGTGTAGTTGGAAAAGTTAAACAATTACTTTAAGTGGCTTAAAAGCACACTAAATAAAACATGTTTATCATTAATTTTTAAATTTATCACAATTGTTTTGGCTTAAATTTTCTTATTATAGGAATTATTGCAAAATCATATTTTGGTCATAAGAACCAAATATTTTGCAATTATTCTATTATTATAATTGAAAACTTTTTTTCAGTTATAATAATGGAATTAAAATTTATTATTTTCTTATGAAGCTTTAAGATTGATCTCTGTGTTCCATTATAAAAATAAACTAGATAACCCTTTTTTCTATTATCTTTTACAAAGTAGATATAAATTTTTAATTCTTTAAACTAAGACATCATTCTATAAATGTCAAGCTATATATACAATTAAAACTGGCAAATTGTGAATAGAAAATATATTCTCTGCTCTATTTGGTTTTTTAAAACTTATTTGTTCAGAACATTCACTTATTAAATATTCTTAAATAATTTAGTAATAATAATCACAAAATGACAACTACAGTTTTATTAAACACATGTATTCTGCAATATACANTTATTGAAGCATTTTGTGAATTTTTAGCATTCATCAAATAAGAAAGGGCTAAAGAATGCTATTATTCATAGCTGGAGTAATATCAGTGCTAAAATCTATAAAAGACTTGTGGAATCAATGCCTAAGAGTTACAACTGTAATTAAAGCCAAAGGAGGCCAAAAATTATTAAATACCAATATTATGTTTGTGGTTCCATACTTCCTACAGCTTGTATGATTCCAAACCTTTTTCCAAGATGAGTTTGTTATGTTTGTCTAAATAAATTTTTCNTGAATATAAGTTACTCCATGTATAATTTAATATTTTATCCATAATTATACATTATAATAACATTTTAATACATTGTGTACACTAAGTTTGTTATTAATGTATGTTTCTAAAATACATTTGATTTAATAAACTTCCAGCAATAGCAGATAATCCTTCCATTAAATTGAAGGCCTATTGTACTAAAGTCCTGTCTCATTTCTATCAATACAGTAATTGTATCATATGAAAAATTATTATTCTATTAAAATAATTAACTTATGAAATAAATTTGAAATCAAGATAAAAATTTCAATCTTTGTTTAAAAAAAATCTTATTTGTGAGCGAGTAAAATCCAATAGTTTAATTTATACAATGTAAGAGAATTTAATGAGAATCAACATTCAACTTTTATCCAGGAATTAAATATATCTTAATTTCTTCTTAATTAAAATATATAATATTGATTTTTTATAAATATCAGTTTTATTAATCAGAATATCTTATTGTAAAGAGTTTTCATTAAGAGTTATTAAAAGATAAATGATTAAGTAAAAATGTTAATTATACAACAACCATAACTGTAAATTGTTCAGCAGTTCTTGTTGAGTTATTTTTATAAACCAAATAAATATTATCATAAATTTCTATCTCATATACAGATTAATAATGTCACATGAGATCTAGAATTAGACAAGCTAATATGATAATTTAAGGATTCCAACCATATATCAAATTAAATTAACATAGTAATCAATGCATTACCATCATATATAATGAAATTTGGATATACAAATAGGTCTATTCCTACTTACATTTAATCCTTCCTGTCCTTGTCCCTCTCCTTCAATAACAGCTGCAGGATCAAAATTTAAATCACCAAGATCAGGAGCATGTGGAAGAGAAGAATCACTGTTTGTGGATGACTGACTATTGGGCTGACTTGAAGCAACCACTGTGGTACTATTGCTATTGTTTTCTGTACCACTTGATTGCTGGGAAGTTGGAGGTGGCACACTAGGTGGACCTCCTCCAGAATTTCCAGGTGTATGTGGTGTGTGAGGAGTATGAGGAGTGTGAGGTGTATGTGGTCCATGTTGCATCATCACCTGTCCCTGAGTTGTTGTGGGCATAGCAGATGTTTGCTGGGATGAATTGGTCCCAGATGATGAGGAAGGTGGGTGACGAAGACCCTGACTGCTTTGATCATGTAAATTAATGGTTCCCATTTGCTGTAAGTAAAAATTTTATTTAAAATAAAATTTTTAATTACATTAATTATAAAATAAAATAAGATGGATTATTTAATACAAAAATTTTAATATATTTTCATAATTTATTTTTCTGTTATTTTATTCAAATACTATTATGTTATGAAATATATATTTAATATTGTAAATATATTTAGCAATAACATTCAAGTATTATTAAAAAATCAATATTTTTCTACCTGTTCATGATGATTAAGTGATTTTTCCATTGCAGCTAAAGGATCTAATGATGCTACACTTTCATTGAGGTGAGAAAGTGGACTACTGAAATCAGATGCTTGGGATTGAAAGTCAAATCCTGCTGTCCCATGAGTACCAAAACCTACTCCATTGGACATCATAGGACCATTAGGCATTGGGCCATTTGATATTGCTAAAGTAATAATAAAAAATCATAATATTTTAATATATATTTCAATATTAATTCTATAATATTTTTAAAATGAAATTATAATTACTCTGCATATCTGGAGGTGGTAATGGTGCATAAGGTGATAAACCTTGTCCCATTTCCCAGGTACTTGTGGTAGGAAGTGTCATGCTACTTGGTGACATAGCCTTGAACTGTTTTGGTCCACTACAGGGATATTCTATAATACAAATCCTTTATCATTATATTTTATAGTTATACAGTATCTATATCTTTTTAAAAAGATCTGCATTAAATCTTATTTTCCTGAATAAAATTAATACATTTTTAGAATTGTTTATACTGTATTTGTGAAATCAAAAGTTATCAAATGAATATACCTAATAAAATGGAGAAATAATTCGTGTAGTGGCTTACATTTAAAATACAGATTCATTTATCTAATTTACACAGAAAATTAATGGAATCTAAAAATATCCCACAAACAACCTTTTCACTTTCCAGCACAATTATTTAATGATTGGACAAATGTTTTTGAACTGCTTTATAGATCAACTTCAGGTTTACCTATACTTTAATGTACTGTATCTTTGTTCTATTTCTGGAACATAAGAATATTCAAAATATGTTTACAATGGAATCTATTTATACACAAATTAATATATCATTAAATATTAGACTAAGTCAAAATTTATATAAAAGAGTTTTGCAATTTTCAATTTTAAATACTTTCTAAATTTTTTTCCAGTTAGAAATTTATAACTCATCAGTATTTTAGTATAATATCAAAAGATTTGTTTCAAAGATAATTTCTCAAGCAAAAAAGAAAAATTGCAACTGTTCAGTGAAAAAGTTATTATCTAAGCCAAGAGTTCATTAAATTGTTGTGATGAAGTGACAATATGATAAGATTTATAGACAGAAGTTTCATTATCGGGATGATTGTTTCTCAGAAGATAAAGTATGTCAATGCCTATATGCAAGTTACAGCAAGAAAAATTATTTTAATAATCCTTATTAATACTTTTACATATTTTACAATAATAAAAATTAAAATAATCAAACACCTTAGTATTTCCAGCAACAAAGTATTTAATAAAAAAAANATCATTAATTTTATATATAAACTTACAGAAAATTTTCAGTATAATTCCAGTTCTTTTCATAAATTCTATTTCAAAAACTGTCTGTAAAATAACTGTTGTTACTTTTCATATAATATAAACAAAACACTTCCATACAAATTTTTATTGTATAAATATGCATATCTACACTAATAATACGACATTACCATAAAAACAAATATGGTAGATGTTGGGTACAGACAAGAAAAGCTGCATACAATAATTTTGTTGTAATGGACAGATTGGGACAAGCCCTTGCTTAACACACAATACAATAAAAGACATTGTTCAACAATTTGGGCAGATTTCCCGATTGATTGATACAGTTGTATTGGAGAGCATAGGATTGCTTTTAACAATAATCCACAATTGCTATTTAATGGTTTGGCAATTGTAAGGGATGCTATACAGGGTGAATGGTTGGAATAAAAACAAGTCTACTCTCCAACTTAAAAGATGCAAAGAGGAGAAAACCAAACCCACATCTCTAACACAGTTCTAACAAGGGTTTAAATCCAAGATGTAAAATGGTTGGTTGTGCAAAATTTTAATTTTTTTTTGTAGGACATGATGGCAACAGCGCATGAACTGTGTGAAGTAATTCTATATCTACAAAAAGCTGCATTAATTTATGTTTTCAATGAACAAAATACAAACTGATGTTATCATTGTTTAAAATAGTGAAGCAGGAGAAATGGACTTTGTAGAAGTAAATGTATGAAAGGACTTGTTCCTGATATAATAGAGCAACAACATCATTTCAACTTTTATTCCTTGATCACTAGCAATAATGCATTTATTTTATTTTACTTTTTAAATTCTTTCACTTAGCAATGATGCTCTTGGACAACATGAAGAATGCTACAAACAAACAACAGTGAAGATAATCATCCATAGTAGCATTAATCTGCTATGAATAAAGATGAAATCATCTACATTGTTTTAACAGATATACTAATTTGGTTAAGAGGGCTGTATTGCTGACTGTGCAACAGTTCATGGCTGTTGCCAGTCTAAATGTTTGATTTGGTAAGTGCACCACTTTAGTCAGCCACCATGCACCACCATTCCCAGGAGAAAACATTATTGCCAGCATACAAGTGGACAACCAACGAAGAACACTGCAATATAGTTGTGATTACCTTCAACTAATGCCCAAAAGGCAACAAAATTGCCTTGTAATAAAGATGTTTTGAGTCACTGAAGCACAAGCTATTTTTCAATTTCTAACAACAAAATGTGTAATGCTGTGTTCATCTGTACATACAATAGATATGGACAGAGGTTAGTGTCACAAGAAAGGAATTTATTTTTCACAAGTAAGAATTATAGCTTGCAAATGCATGTATTGTATTGTCTATGCAAGTTCTTAAAAGAGAGTAACATTTGAACTATACATTGATGTAAATTTCTTCCTTTGCATAACGAGATCAGTCAAGAAATCTTCGGAGTCTGACAAAGATGACTTGTGCAATGAGATTTTCCAACCGTTGTATATGCTCTAAGGCTTTGGCTTTGTAGCTCTGAAGATAATCTTAACAATTTGTATATGTTGATATCAGAGCTTGAGGTACTCTTAGGTTTTCAACATAATTTTGTAGGACTTCTGTTTAGGAGAATGGATTTTCTTATTACAATGGTGCAATCAACACAACAGTTTCCATCAGAAAATTACTATGGATGGAATAAATGTGCATGCAATAAATATACCTATCACAACTATTATTATCCTTGTTCTATGTACAGCCTTTTGCTGAACATTTTATTTTCAAGTTATGAAGACAAGAATTGTAACAGGGCTCGATATCTGTACATGGTGTGAACTTATCACGTTTAAATGAGTGCAGAACTGTACAGTTTCTAGGTACAATTGTTGCCGAGTAAAAACACGACAAACTGGCCAAGTCGAAGATATTCGATGATTTGATGTGCTTTGGTATAAAAGTCAGTTAATAAACACTAAAAGGCAGAAACCATCACAAAGCTACCAAACATCCAATATGATATCTTTTAAGATTCAAAAAGTGCTAAAAGATCATCACTAGTACTATTGGATGTGGCAGGTGTTGCACTGTTGCTTACGGAAGTTGTGTTTGTGGAAGTGGTGCCTGTGTTTGATCCTGTGCTGCCTAAATCAGGAGGTTCCAGATATGATAACAACTCCATTGGATCTACCACATTTTCTGGTAAAAGCTAAAATGAATAAAAAGCAAAAAAGAAATATAATACACCATTAGATAAAATAATGTTTAATTACAACTAAATAACTAAAAGTAACAATTACTAGTAAATAAGGATATTATATACATTACATAAAATATTATAAACCTATACATGTAACATTTAATAATTAAAACTACTAAAAATATTTCATAAAAACTGATGTTTTGCTAATGATTTGCTTGTAACTTATACAGCTCCTTTAAACTTTTAATTTTTAGATTGAATAAAGTTAACAAGAATTAATTTGAAATGTTATATGATCATTATACTGTATTAATAACATCAAACATTGAGATCTAAAATCTATACAGTATACATCAGTGGTTCCCAAACTTTTGTAATTTTGAGCTCCCTTAACCTGCTACCATCTGGTGGCAGCTCCTACTATATATAACAAATAAATTTATACTATATAAAGATATATGTATATTTTCTGAAGTAGTAAATCCAGACATAGTAATACTTTTTTTAAGAGTAATTTGTGTGTTGACATTATTATTACCATAAATAATAAAACAAATAAAGGAAATAGTAGTACAGTTAGGCAAAGAATAAATACTCTATATTATATAAAATGTATATACAGTACTACAATTATATTCACATGCCACATGTAAATTGACTATCAATTTTAATTCATTGTAAAATTATCTGCAAAACAGAAGTAGAAATGTGTGCAAGAAACTGTTTATCTGTATTTTCTATTAACAACTTAATTCTAAAAAAAAAAAAATAGAAAAAGGCTTGTTTTATTCAAAAAGTTCTAATGAGATAAATCTTAAAATACAGAAAATGCACAGGCATACAAAAATGCACTGCACAAACACTGTCAATGAATCATTAACAACTAAAATAATGGTTAACCTGATCACAGCACCTCTGACTAGTTCTGATATGCACACAATTTGGGAATCACTGGTATATACAATTTTCTCAATTGATACTACTTTACTGCTATGCATGATCATTTATCTGACTGATAAGTCAGGCTCTTTTGACTTAGCTATAAATAATAAAGCTTGCATATATTGTTAAAGTAAAATTATCTTAAAAATAATGATTTTTTTTAAGTAATTTTACCATACAGAGAGCCTAGATTACAGATAACCCATATATTATGTATATTTAGTTATTTAAGCTTATGTTCATTACATAACCCATAACATGCATTTCAGTAAGACTGTAACCATACATGATGCAAAGTCTATGCCTGGTGCAAGGACAGATGATCTTGGTGACTGTTTGATACATTTGGAAATATCATTTCCATAAACTGAGAAGATGTTTGTCTAAAAAGATGTGCATTTGCTGAGCATTTGAATAACAAAATGCATAACATCTTCTGAAAAATGAAGATTTCATCTCTAACAGTTGCAATAGGACTCTCACTGCAATCTGCTTGACTTCATTTGGATGCACTAGCCTAGGCTAACAATGTATTGTATAGTCTCAAAAAATTATTTGAACCATTCTCTGATGGTCTGAGTCTTACTGACAAATTTTTGGCAAAAATTATGCTGCAGTAAATTAAGCTTACACATTGACCTAGTTTCATGCATCCAAAAAGCATATCCATTACATGGAAGTTAATTAAGTAAAATCTTTAAATACAGAAATTTGAAGTATTGAAGAACTTGATATTAATATTTTGGATATTTATGAAATATCTAATGATGATATAGGCTAAATAAAATATACAGTATAACAAACTAATTTTCAGAAAGTACAGGTTTGAGGCTTTTACCAAGCTGATTTTTTCCTGTAAAGATTTTTCTAAAATTATTAATTATTAATAGAGTAATTTTCATGTAAAAACAAACTCATTCTAATTATTATAATTCAGTATTAAATGATGAAATGTTTGTATGTATGGAAAATTTCAATCATTAATTTATAGCCTATAAAGTCTTAAGAAAATTAATACTGAAATATTTAAACGTAATAAAAAAATTTTTTTAAATGATGCAGTATCCTGTACACAAGATTTTGGATGGGATATGTAGCTTAGTATAAGAAAGATGAAATGAGAATTTGAAAGATAAACAGTTATCAGACAGGATTTTCAAACACTAAAGAGAGAAACATTATAAAACTGCTGAAATGATTTGGATACAATTTATTTGAGACCAAAATGTTTCCAGAGCAAAGATTTGAATAATTCCACCATTTCAACCATCTTTGAAATATTGATTCAAGATGTGTATAGAATGTTGAGAATACTTTTATTCATAATGGCATTTCACTCTTTGAATCATATTTCAAACATGACTGAAATGATAGAATTAATGTATTTTATCATATAGCAAGTAAATTTTGAATACAAATAATGATAGGTTTTATTTTAAATAAAGAGTTCATTTATTTAATAGATAGTCTTATTTGCTAGATAAATGATTTTGAATTACAAAAGTTATTACGTTAAATTAACTGTATTATTAGTTTTTACATTTCAAATGATTATCCTTTCTAGGTATTGCATATTTACATTACTAAATTTCTCTATATTTTCAGAAAATAATGCAAATTAGTGCAGGTGCTCACCTACTTATGAACCTTCAATGTATGAACTTTCATACTTACAAACAATTTGACCTTAAATCTAAAATTTAAATTTCATGCAGATTCTGAAGTTCTCTTACCACTCATGGGGTGGTGTTGAAGTCAATCTTTGACCAGTAATAAATAATAAATTTTTCAGAAAATTAATATTAGGTTTATTCAGTGTTGCCACCTTTTCAAAATTGCTGACCCAGACAGGGCCAGCAATTACGGAAAGGTGGCAACACTGTCTTGAACAGGTCATAACTATTTTTGAAATTTGTTTTGTGCTAACCAATCTTTATTAAATTTACATGTTTGCTTCCTCTTTTTTGGGTTTTCAATTTCTTGAGTTGTCATATTAAATAATTAAAACAGAAATTATAAACTTGTAAACTGAAACTGTCACATTCACTTTACATTAGGTTTGTTCTAACACAAGTCCCTTACTGGTTTGTTCTAACACAAGTCCCTTACTGGTTTGAATTTGAAACCGTATGAAGCATGTGCAATGTCATTTTACAGCCAAGAACTGAACAATGCACATGCCACTTTTAAGCCAGTTAGGGACTTGTGTTGGAACAAACCTAATATTTGCAAATTAGAATTTTAAAAGTACATTTTCTGTCACTCTTAGTCTAGGAATAAGAAGGGGATAAATTTAGGTGGGGTGTGGGGTGTGAAGTTTGTCTTTAACCATTAAAATAAAATACTCGCAAATATTTTTATAAATTCATTTTGTTTCATCATAATTTCACAATTTCTACTAAAACAAGACAAATTAATAATTAATCCGGACCATGAATTTAAAAATGGCTTGTCTGGGTGAAAACCGGCCACCAGGCCAGTTTATTTCTATTACATATCATCATTTTTTTGTTTTTGCATAAATCTGAGATTCCATTGTTGGTCATGAGATGATGTTGAAGTTGGTAACATTGCAATAACAGCATTTTTAGCTATTGTATGCAATATAAACATTTTTGATTAATGTTTCAAAAATGCATCTGAAACATAATAGTAAATCTAGTAATGGTGATAAATGCAAGAAGTGTCACTCTATTACTATGGAAACTAAACTTAACATTATGAAACTAAGTGATTTAGGTGAGAAAAACCACATTTCAAACACCTACTACTAAGCAGTAATGAATGGGTAAATGAATTAAATGTATTCTATTATGTACATTGAAGGATCAAATACTAAGTGGTTATTCTGTGTACAAATATACTTTCTAGGTTAGTTTTTGACTTATAATGAATCCTCTGAAACTTAACCTGTTTGTTAAATAGGGAAGCACTTGAACTGAAATATTTGCATAGCATTTTAAATAGCATTTCTCAAATCTCTCTGCACTATAAAGTTATATTTGAATTATTTCAAATAACTGTATTTCATAAGTTTATTAGAAAATTTTTTCAGAAACAAATTATAAAATGGTAAGATATCATAATTTTTTAAATTTAAACTTTCATATTTGAATTATAAGTACAGTACATAGATCCTCAATTCAATGGACTAAATTTATTGAATCAAAAAATTTGTCTTAAAGGAAAAATTTAACTTTTTTTTATTCATAGATAGACCACACTAAAAGATAAGTCTATGAATATAAGTTACTCCATGTATAATTTAATATTTTATCCATAATTATACATTATAATAACATTTTAATACATTGTGTACACTAAGTTTGTTATTAATGTATGTTTCTAAAATACATTTGATTTAATAAACTTCCAGCAATAGCAGATAATCCTTCCATTAAATTGAAGGCCTATTGTACTAAAGTCCTGTCTCATTTCTATCAATACAGTAATTGTATCATATGAAAAATTATTATTCTATTAAAATAATTAACTTATGAAATAAATTTGAAATCAAGATAAAAATTTCAATCTTTGTTTAAAAAAATCTTATTTGTGAGCGAGTAAAATTCAATAGTTTAATTTATACAATGTAAGAGAATTTAATGAGAATCAACATTCAACTTTTATCCAGGAATTAAATATATCTTAATTTCTTCTTAATTAAAATATATAATATTGATTTTTTATAAATATCAGTTTTATTAATCAGAATATCTTATTGTAAAGAGTTTTCATTAAGAGTTATTAAAAGATAAATGATTAAGTAAAAATGTTAATTATACAACAACCATAACTGTAAATTGTTCAGCAGTTCTTGTTGAGTTATTTTTATAAACCAAATAAATATTATCATAAATTTCTATCTCATATACAGATTAATAATGTCACATGAGATCTAGAATTAGACAAGCTAATATGATAATTTAAGGATTCCAACCATATATCAAATTAAATTAACATAGTAATCAATGCATTACCATCATATATAATGAAATTTGGATATACAAATAGGTCTATTCCTACTTACATTTAATCCTTCCTGTCCTTGTCCCTCTCCTTCAATAACAGCTGCAGGATCAAAATTTAAATCACCAAGATCAGGAGCATGTGGAAGAGAAGAATCACTGTTTGTGGATGACTGACTATTGGGCTGACTTGAAGCAACCACTGTGGTACTATTGCTATTGTTTTCTGTACCACTTGATTGCTGGGAAGTTGGAGGTGGCACACTAGGTGGACCTCCTCCAGAATTTCCAGGTGTATGTGGTGTGTGAGGAGTATGAGGAGTGTGAGGTGTATGTGGTCCATGTTGCATCATCACCTGTCCCTGAGTTGTTGTGGGCATAGCAGATGTTTGCTGGGATGAATTGGTCCCAGATGATGAGGAAGGTGGGTGACGAAGACCCTGACTGCTTTGATCATGTAAATTAATGGTTCCCATTTGCTGTAAGTAAAAATTTTATTTAAAATAAAATTTTTAATTACATTAATTATAAAATAAAATAAGATGGATTATTTAATACAAAAATTTTAATATATTTTCATAATTTATTTTTCTGTTATTTTATTCAAATACTATTATGTTATGAAATATATATTTAATATTGTAAATATATTTAGCAATAACATTCAAGTATTATTAAAAAATCAATATTTTTCTACCTGTTCATGATGATTAAGTGATTTTTCCATTGCAGCTAAAGGATCTAATGATGCTACACTTTCATTGAGGTGAGAAAGTGGACTACTGAAATCAGATGCTTGGGATTGAAAGTCAAATCCTGCTGTCCCATGAGTACCAAAACCTACTCCATTGGACATCATAGGACCATTAGGCATTGGGCCATTTGATATTGCTAAAGTAATAATAAAAAATCATAATATTTTAATATATATTTCAATATTAATTCTATAATATTTTTAAAATGAAATTATAATTACTCTGCATATCTGGAGGTGGTAATGGTGCATAAGGTGATAAACCTTGTCCCATTTCCCAGGTACTTGTGGTAGGAAGTGTCATGCTACTTGGTGACATAGCCTTGAACTGTTTTGGTCCACTACAGGGATATTCTATAATACAAATCCTTTATCATTATATTTTATAGTTATACAGTATCTATATCTTTTTAAAAAGATCTGCATTAAATCTTATTTTCCTGAATAAAATTAATACATTTTTAGAATTGTTTATACTGTATTTGTGAAATCAAAAGTTATCAAATGAATATACCTAATAAAATGGAGAAATAATTCGTGTAGTGGCTTACATTTAAAATACAGATTCATTTATCTAATTTACACAGAAAATTAATGGAATCTAAAAATATCCCACAAACAACCTTTTCACTTTCCAGCACAATTATTTAATGATTGGACAAATGTTTTTGAACTGCTTTATAGATCAACTTCAGGTTTACCTATACTTTAATGTACTGTATCTTTGTTCTATTTCTGGAACATAAGAATATTCAAAATATGTTTACAATGGAATCTATTTATACACAAATTAATATATCATTAAATATTAGACTAAGTCAAAATTTATATAAAAGAGTTTTGCAATTTTCAATTTTAAATACTTTCTAAATTTTTTTCCAGTTAGAAATTTATAACTCATCAGTATTTTAGTATAATATCAAAAGATTTGTTTCAAAGATAATTTCTCAAGCAAAAAAGAAAAATTGCAACTGTTCAGTGAAAAAGTTATTATCTAAGCCAAGAGTTCATTAAATTGTTGTGATGAAGTGACAATATGATAAGATTTATAGACAGAAGTTTCATTATCGGGATGATTGTTTCTCAGAAGATAAAGTATGTCAATGCCTATATGCAAGTTACAGCAAGAAATATTATTTTAATAATCCTTATTAATACTTTTACATATTTTACAATAATAAAAATTAAAATAATCAAACACCTTAGTATTTCCAGCAACAAAGTATTTAATAAAAAATATAATAATGTTTTCGACTATTTTTAATAGTCTTCTTTAGTTAAAACAAAAATGAATGTAAAATAGAACGCAAGCAATACAGCGGTTTAAAAATTTGAAATTAATTACAACAAAATAAAAATAAAATAAAACGTAAAAACAAAATTAAATTACAATAAAATATTAAGAAAATTAATCGTTGTGGTAAAGAATTAAATTAAATAAAGCATTCAGAAAATTAATTGTGGTAAGAAGATTTCCATGCGCAGGATAGACTTTCTGCATCTCTATGGTTGATGCATCCTTTGTCAATATGGGCCTTGTAAATTTCAAGTTTTTCAATATGTTTAAGTACTTGTTTGTTGGTGGGGTCCTAATTATGGATGCTTTGTCCCAATGTACATTAATATCTTGATGTTTAGCAAAGGCTGCAAGGACAGTACTGTCCAAGTTTTTAGTAATGGAATACTTATGCTTTTTAAGCCTCTGTTTTAAAAGTCTCATAGTGGCACCAACGTAAACGAGATCTGAATTAAAACGGCAGTCACTTACAGGAATAGAATACACTCCTCTACTATTGTTACGGTTTCCTTTCTTCTTATCATTCCGTAGAATTCTATAAATTATTGTGAGATAATAATTCTTAAATTATTATTGTGAGATAATTTTTTAATCATCGAGTGTAGGAAAAGTATATAGTTGAGAACTACTCTTCATCCTTGGTTCTTAGTTGTAGGTTGCTTATTTGTTTGATTACAATATTTAGCAATAAGAGCATTAACTTCACTTATATGATATCCCTGTTGTACAGCTATTGTACGAATGTAATTTAATTCTCTATGTGTGTCAAACATACTCGTACAGTGGGTATAGGCCCACTTTATCCATGATCAAAAGGCTGCATTCTTAAAATTCCGAGGATCAAAGGAATTTTTTAGAATAATAATAGGTAGATAGCTAGGTTTTTGATAAGTATCTGTCCAAATTTCACCATATTTACAAGTGATAGATAGATCCAGAAAATTTATGTTAATGTCACTTTTTGATATTGATATGGGTTTGACATTGAAATTAATTACAACAAAATAAAAATAAAATAAAACGTAAAAACAAAATTAAATTACAATAAAATATTAAGAAAATTAATATATCAATGTCAAACCCATATGGTTTGACATTGATAAAGTCAAACCATATGGGTTGTTATTAATTTTGTTAAGGAAACATTGAGTGCTATTACTATTCTTCCAAATGATGAAAACATCATCCATATATCTTGCACATGCAAGTATGTCGTTTATAAAGACGGGCAGTACTTAAAGAGGCTTAAAGAGCATAAGTATTCCATTACTAAAAACTTGGACAGTACTGTCCTTGCAGCCTTTGCTAAACATCAAGATATTAATGTACATTGGGACAAAGCATCCATAATTAGGACAACCACCAACAAACAAGTACTTAAACATATTGAAAAACTTGAAATTTACAAGGCCCATATTGACAAAGGATGCATNAGCCTATAAAGTCTTAAGAAAATTAATACTGAAATATTTAAACGTAATAAAAAAATTTTTTTAAATGATGCAGTATCCTGTACACAAGATTTTGGATGGGATATGTAGCTTAGTATAAGAAAGATGAAATGAGAATTTGAAAGATAAACAGTTATCAGACAGGATTTTCAAACACTAAAGAGAGAAACATTATAAAACTGCTGAAATGATTTGGATACAATTTATTTGAGACCAAAATGTTTCCAGAGCAAAGATTTGAATAATTCCACCATTTCAACCATCTTTGAAATATTGATTCAAGATGTGTATAGAATGTTGAGAATACTTTTATTCATAATGGCATTTCACTCTTTGAATCATATTTCAAACATGACTGAAATGATAGAATTAATGTATTTTATCATATAGCAAGTAAATTTTGAATACAAATAATGATAGGTTTTATTTTAAATAAAGAGTTCATTTATTTAATAGATAGTCTTATTTGCTAGATAAATGATTTTGAATTACAAAAGTTATTACGTTAAATTAACTGTATTATTAGTTTTTACATTTCAAATGATTATCCTTTCTAGGTATTGCATATTTACATTACTAAATTTCTCTATATTTTCAGAAAATAATGCAAATTAGTGCAGGTGCTCACCTACTTATGAACCTTCAATGTATGAACTTTCATACTTACAAACAATTTGACCTTAAATCTAAAATTTAAATTTCATGCAGATTCTGAAGTTCTCTTACCACTCATGGGGTGGTGTTGAAGTCAATCTTTGACCAGTAATAAATAATAAATTTTTCAGAAAATTAATATTAGGTTTATTCAGTGTTGCCACCTTTTCAAAATTGCTGACCCAGACAGGGCCAGCAATTACGGAAAGGTGGCAACACTGTCTTGAACAGGTCATAACTATTTTTGAAATTTGTTTTGTGCCAACCAATCTTTATTAAATTTACATGTTTGCTTCCTCTTTTTTGGGTTTTCAATTTCTTGAGTTGTCATATTAAATAATTAAAACAGAAATTATAAACTTGTAAACTGAAACTGTCACATTCACTTTACATTAGGTTTGTTCTAACACAAGTCCCTTACTGGTTTGTTCTAACACAAGTCCCTTACTGGTTTGAATTTGAAACCGTATGAAGCATGTGCAATGTCATTTTACAGCCAAGAACTGAACAATGCACATGCCACTTTTAAGCCAGTTAGGGACTTGTGTTGGAACAAACCTAATATTTGCAAATTAGAATTATAAAAGTACATTTTCTGTCACTCTTAGTCTAGGAATAAGAAGGGGATAAATTTAGGTGGGGTGTGGGGTGTGAAGTTTGTCTTTAACCATTAAAATAAAATACTCGCAAATATTTTTATAAATTCATTTTGTTTCATCATAATTTCACAATTTCTACAAAAACAAGACAAATTAATAATTAATCCGGACCATGAATTTAAAAATGGCTTGTCTGGGTGAAAACCGGCCACCAGGCCAGTTTATTTCTATTACATATCATCATTTTTTTGTTTTTGCATAAATCTGAGATTCCATTGTTGGTCATGAGATGATGTTGAAGTTGGTAACATTGCAATAACAGCATTTTTAGCTATTGTATGCAATATAAACATTTTTGATTAATGTTTCAAAAATGCATCTGAAACATAATAGTAAATCTAGTAATGGTGATAAATGCAAGAAGTGTCACTCTATTACTATGGAAACTAAACTTAACATTATGAAACTAAGTGATTTAGGTGAGAAAAACCACATTTCAAACACATACTACTAAGCAGTAATGAATGGGTAAATGAATTAAATGTATTCTATTATGTACATTGAAGGATCAAATACTAAGTGGTTATTCTGTGTACAAATATACTTTCTAGGTTAGTTTTTGACTTANAATACATTAAAATATGAGTTGAAACATTCGTACTGGATTAATAAAAATTTGTGACATTAAAAAAAGCAATAGAAATGATTCTCTCAGAAATTTTCAATTTAATTTAGCAAACATTTTAATATAACATATATGAATCTAGAAAATATTTGAATAATTTTTATCTTGTTTTTACCCAACCTCCTTCAATGAAAGTAATTTTGTAATTTAAAATTACTATTGTTATAAGAATTAAACTTAAGTATTACTTCCCAAATATATCACTGTAGGCTTATAACTTTTTTCATAATTTTATCTATAAACTTTCATTTTATTTCTCAAAAATCCTGATATACATTTTATAAAAGTATATATTGAGAATTTTTTAATATAAATCAATGAAAATTTCTTATAAAAATACCGGTATTAATCTTTATTTTTCTATATATATTGTAATAATTTTTTAAAATACTTAATGTCATTTTGTAGTCATGTTTTAATAACAGAAAATAATAATAAAATTATTGGTATAAAACTGTTTTTGTTTATCATTAACATAATGAAAATTTCGAGAATGACCCGTTTCATTGTTTAAATGGCAGATTTAGATTATGATAATGGCGATAAATGCTGATATCGATGACGATGCTTTGAATATACTTAGGACATGGCTGTTAACACCGATAATGGCGCTTCCGCGCGCGATAATCTTGGCAATTTTTAATTTTGAAAAATCTATTTATACTTTT